GAAAACCACCCCAAGCTGGCCTAGTACGAGTCCTTTCTATACAAAGTATGTAACATCATGGGAAAGGAGGGAGGTCCCGCTCCACACACTTTTTCTTAACCAGGAGCCTTTTCTGACCTACGTTCGCCGATGACATGCACACACCCTCAGGCTCTGGCTGCCATGTCGAACGGACCAAGCAAACGATAGATGGATCAAAATGTCGTCATCGTTGTGATCAGACTTCTGAGAACGCACTCGCATTCACCTCGCCAACTTGCTAAGGAGTTGCCTCCCACAGCTGGTGACCCCTCATCAGCTGTATCTATGCGGTGCTCTTCCTCTGGCGATCCCTCTGCGTGCGGCTCCAAAAGGTTCCCCAAATTCTTGCTCATCTGCTCGCTCAGCTCGACGACCTGTTGGCGATCTGCAAGGGAAACATGGAACCATCCAACATGTAAGTCCAGCAGAACGTTGTTGAATATCACTATCAAGTAAACATCATCTCTCTTTCGATGGTCATATCGTATCGTATCGTATCGTATCGTATCGTATCGTATCGCATCGTATCGTATCTTATCGTAGTCTGGCGCCTACCGTAGAAATTGGAGCTATTTGGCCTCCAAAAGGTATTGATGTGTTAGATCCTTGGGGAATCCCCTTTCTAAATACTCTTATTCTACTTTCATCTGGAGCTGCTGTAACTTGGGCTCATCATGCTATATATCGTATCGTATCGTATCATATCAAATCCAATCGAATCAAATAGAGTCGGATCGAATTGAATCGACTCGAATCGAATCGACTCGAATAGAATTGTGTCGAATCGACACTACACTGAGGCAATCGCTGTGCTTCCTCATGTTTTGTTTGCTACCGTAGCCAAGGATTCCCTCRAGGAGGAGGGAAGGGACATATGGAAAGATCCCCAATGAATCCATCAAAGAGTTTAACATGTGGAAATATATATTTTTGCTACGCCCAGAAAGTCGGGTGCTTTCATAAATAAACTTGTAGAAAATCATAAGAAGGTGAAACATGGGATCTCAACAAACCCTAAAGATGCGAAAGATGGGACCACCAAAACCTACCGATGGGAAAGGTACCAATGGGCTTAGCTCAGTTGGTACACCCATAAACAGTTGAAATACAGACTCAAGTTCGAATCCAGTCCAGATGCAATCATATGTACATAATAAGAAAATTCTGAATTACCCGGGGCAAGGCAGTTCAATGATAATATCTCAAGGCAGTCGCCCTTCAAAAACAAACAAAAAATAAAAAAAAAGAAAACTAGATCGGGTAACGATGGGATCAGCAAACCCTAAAGATGGGAAAGGTAAATCTAGCAAACCCTAAAGATGGGAAAGGTAAATCTAGCAAACCCTAAAGATGGGAAAGATAAATCTAGCAAACCCTAAAGAAGGGATCAGAAAACACTATGCACAATATATATGGTCTTGTACCTTGAGGGCRGTGGTTGGTGCCCACCTCAAGGTATCMGTTGTTGGGCAGCTGTTGATGCTTAACCACAACTGGSGTGAGTTATCATTTACAGTGTAAGCAGTTAGGGGACTCTGCAGACTGTAGAGGGTTCAGCCTCCTGATGAGTCGGTGAAACTCCGGCAAAACTGTTTGTCACAGCCCCTCGTTTATTGTCCTCTTCTCCCTCTCTGCCTACAGTTTACCGTGCGGTTCCGTTTGACGATATATGGCCTCAAGTTAGATCCAGCAAAACCTAAAGATGAGATCATAAAACACGATGTATATATATGGCCTCAAGTGTGCCACACCAGGTTGTTGCAAATTGCAATTGTATGGCAAAATTGCTAACAAACCAAACAGAGCATACAAAATCAATGCGTGTCGCATCATTCTAATTTCTAACAAAACAAATGAAGCTGTCAAAATCTTGCAGGAGTGGAGACGAAGCACATMATACAAGCCTGAAACTTGGGCCAATCGTTCCATGTGCAAGTGATCGAAGAATCCACACATACTGATTGGAGAAGGTGTCATGAAGAGATGTCATGGCAACAAAACCATGGGGAGGTTTTTCAAACGGCCACTAAGGCGCCTTAGCCAGAGGTGATATCCATCCACAGAGTTAGCACMAACCCGATTGAACTGCTTGCGCTACATCCAAAACCACTTGCCTAACTCAGAGTTAGGCAGGCCCTCACCTACTCAACTCAGAGTTAGCCAGGCACTTGCCTAGCGGCCTAGCTGCCTAGCTGCCTAGCTGCCTAGCTGCCTAGCTGCCTAGCTGCCTAGCTTAACTCAGAGTTACACAGGCACTTGCCTAACGAACGGCCTAACTCAACTCAGAGTTAGGCACTCGCTTGGCGATGTACGGATGTTGAAGTGCATATGACCAGTCGAGAGATGGTTAACGGGGGGGGAAATATCCGCCATTTTYGCTTCCCATACCCCCCCTCACCTCCCATAACACCCCTGGTTAACTGCATGTAATGGGGGGTATGGGAAGGGTTATGGGGGGTACAGGAGGGGTTATGGGGGGTGCGGGGGGTTATGGGAGGTGTTATGGGAGGTGAGGGCGACGGGCATGTAATGGGGGGTTTATGGGGGGGAGGGGGGGGTATTGGGGATTGGAGGGGTCTGGTTGCGGGGTGCTGACCAGCCACCGACCGGTAGGTGCCAACAGGTGGACCGGTCGGCTGGTTGGTCGCTGACTACTTGAGGGGCGCTGACCTGTCGGCGTGRCTACACTTCCAAATTCTGGTACAGGGGTGCATTATAGCCCAAATGGTGCTACAAAATGGTGCTACACGGATCCATTACAGCCCAAGTGGTGGTATTGGGGTCCATTATAGCCCAAATGGTGCAMAGGGGTGCATTATAGGCCAAATGGTGGTGTTGGGGTCCATTATAGCCCAAATTGTGCTACAGGGGTGCATTAAAGCCCAAACGGTGCTATGAAATGATACTACAGGATCCRTTATGGCCCAAATGGCGCTACTGGGGTTCATTACAGCCGAAGACACATGGGCAAGACATTGCAACCTTGCCATTAGCACAGCAAGCTGCACTGCTTGGCCTTAGAAAGACTGGATCAACCGCCCATGTAACACACTTTGTGTCCCCTTCCCCACTGCCTTCCCCCCTCCATTCCCCC